AGGACTTTGAATCATGTTCGAGGAGTGAGTGATTCATCAGGCTAGCAGTTAAGACGTCTACATTGCGTATCCTAGTGGGCTTGTTTCCTGGCTCCACTCCTGACCCCAGCTTCCTGCTAACATGGTCCCTGGGAGGCAGTAGTGAGGCACAGTTGATTTGTTTCTGCCACCCACAAGGGACACCTGGATGAAGCTTCTGTCTCTGCTGTTGTGAACATCTGGGGAGTGAACCACTAGATGAGAGCTCTCTCTCTCTGTCTCTCCGAATAAAAAATAAGTCATACTTGAAATGAAAGATAATTGACAATAGCTCAAGATTTTTTGTTTTTCCTTAACAGAAAGAATGAAGGATAATTTGCTGTATCCAAAAATGTTTTTTTAATTTTCTTTTCATTTTATTTGAAACACAGAGAGCCAGAGTCAGAGAGGCAGACAGACAGATAGAAAGAGATCTTCTATCTGTTGGTTTACTCCCCAGATGCCTGCAACAGCCAGGGTCGGGCCAGACCACAGCCAGAAGCCTGATACTCAGTGTGGGTCTGTGGGAAGAATCCAGGTATTCAGGGCCGGTGCCGTGGCTTAGTGGGTAAAGCTGTCTGTCACCTGTAGCACTGGCATCCCAAATGCATGCTCGTCCGATTCCCAGCTACTCCCAGTGTTGGCTGTTGTGGCCATCTGGGGAGTGAACCAGCAGGTGGAAGACCTGTCTCTTTGCCTCTGCCTCTCCCTCTCTGTATCTCTGCCTTTCAAATATATAAAATAAATCTTTAAAAAAAAAAAAAAGAATCCACATACTTGAACCATTGCCTGCTACCTCCCAGTGGGCCCCTTAGCAGGAAGCCGGATTGGAAGCAGTGGAGCTAGAACAGGAACCAAGCATTACCATGTAGGATGTGGGAGACCCACACAAAACTCTAACTGCTGAGCCACATGGTCACCCCTCAAATAATAAAACTTTTGTTAACGTTATTATAAGGCGAATGATGCAGATGGTAAACCTTTTGCGAATGGTAACACAATCAGAACAAGATGGTTGAGCACAGGAATAGAGCAACGGGGAAGAGCTGAGAATCAGATACAATTCATATGAAGAATTAACAAGGCAAGGATGATATGAGACTCAACAAAAAATGAGGGTACTTCCAAAGGTTTGTGGAAAGCAGAATTAAATGATAAGTTAAAAGAAAGAAAAGTAAACCCATGCGCATGAAGGGACCTCCAAAAGGTCATGGGGAATGTATCTTGCATGGATTTCACATTTTTTTTGCACCAAAATAAACTTTTTATTCCATTTCCATGAACTTTTTGAAGTGTCCTCATACTTTGCAGCACACATTCAAAGATAAATTCCACGCAATCCCTGGGGTCTAACACGAGAATGGACAAACAGTAAATCGCCTGACCAATAGGAACCATGTCCTGCTACACACGGCACCAGTGACTGTCTCAGACACAGTGCTAACAGAGAGCGACCAGACACAGAGTGGCAAGCCAGGTGGTAGGGCACTCTGCAGAGCCATCCATCAAAAGTCCTCAAGCAATCTATGGTGGAAAAAAGTCAGATTAGTGATTCCATCTGGGTGTATGTCAGGGTGAGGGGTGTGTGTCTTGTGCAGAATCTGAATTAGACAGCCATACACATTTGTTAAAATTCTGCAAATGAACGCCAAAGACTTGTGCCTGGTATTGTATGCAAAAAGTTATTTAGCAAAAAAGAACTGTAAATAAATATTTAGCTGCAGTTAAAGATAAGTGTGCTAAAGTGTTCAAGGGTGACATGTATTGATGGATGCAATTTACTTTGAAATGCATCAACAATAGAAGAGGGGGTGATGGATGGATAGAGGAATGTTAGAAGTTATAAAGGAAATCAAATATAGCAAGGAATTAATTCTAGAAGCTGGGTGGTGGGGCTAGGTAGCTGTTCTCTGTCAAATTCTGCCAACTTCTCTGTAAGCTCGAAATTGCTCAGAATAAAATATTGGGAAAAGTAAATAAATGTCAAGTACACTAAATACTTAAATGTAGAACAGTTTCTCTGCCATAAAACAGCTACAGGAAACTTTAAAAAAACCTGTGTAACCTTAGCATAAAGAGAACTCTTCAAGCAAACCAGAAAACTCAAGAAGATGAAGAAAAGAGAGATATATTTGACTGCCTAAAGACTAATCACTTGATAAAACAACGGATATCATAAACAATATCAAAAAGAAAGTAGATGGGGTGGGAAAACTAATTACACATATATGATAAAGGGTTAGCATTCCTAATATAGAAAGACTTTCTATAAGCTTCCGCAACACCAACAAACAACTCAATAGAAAAGCAGATAAAGGTTGGGGCTGGCACTGTTGTGAGGTGGATAAAGCTGCCACCTGCAGTGCTGGCATCCCATATGGGCAATGGTTCGAGTCCTGGCTGTTCCACTTCCAATCCAGCTCTCTGCTATGACCTGGGAAAGCAGCAGAAGATGGCCCAAGTCCTTGGGTCTCTGCACCCACATGGGAGACCTGGAAGAATCTCCTGGCTCCTGGCTTCAGATCAGCACAGCTTCGACCATTGCGGCCAACTGGGGAGTCAACCAGTGGATGGAAGACCTCTCTCTCTCTCTCTCTCTCTCTCTCTCTCTCTCTCTCTCTCTCTCTTTCTCCTCTCTCTGTGTAACTCTGACTTTCAAATAAGTAAATAAATCTTTAAAAAAAAGAGAAGTAGATAAAGGCACACACACACAATTAACAGGGGAGGAAGCATGAGTCAGAGCGACTGTGGGGAAGACATCAGTATCTCCAGCAGTCAGTTGGAAATGCAAATTAAAACGAAACGAGGCATCATTTTTCAGGGTACAATTAGCAGATCTCAAAGATTGATCATCTGTGGGGCTGGGAGGATGCTAGAAGAAGGGCACGTCCCTGGTAGGCGGGCAGCTGTTTACAAACTTTGGGGAAGGCAGTCTGGTAGTAAGAAGGAGAGGCACGAGAGGCCCCAAGAACGCAGAAGAGGAGGCACGTCCAGGTTTTTACAAAGAGGAAACCATGGAGTGAGCTGCAGCTAAACGCTGGCGTTGACGCTCCAGAGCAGGGGTTGGTCAACAAGGGCCGGAGCCCCAGGTCTCGTGGGTGTTTCTTCATGAGCTGGGAACGATGTCTCTAAGTCTTGGAAGTGCTACGGGGCCAGCGGTGTGGCACAGTAGGTTAAGCTGCCACGAGGAATGCCAGCATCCTGTATCAGAGCACCTGTTCAAGTCCTGGCTGCTCCACTTCAGATCCAGCTCCTTGCTAATGCTCCTGGGAAGGCAGCAGAAGATGGGCCAAGTACTTAGGACCCTGCCAGACCAGAATGGAGTTCCTGGCTCCTGGCTTTGGCCTGACTCATCCCTGGCTGTTGAGGCCGTTTGGGAAATGAACCAGCAGATGAAAGATCTCTCTCTTCCTCTCTCTCTATCACTGTTCCTTTCTCTTCCTCTCTTTCTGCTGCTTTGCCTTTCAAATAAATAAATCGATCTTAAAAAAATAAAGTACATTATAAATGGTTAAATATTTATATACATGAGATCCTCTATTTTGTCTCTTGAGCAGAAACAATATTTATCTAAAATATTTACCAGATGGACCTTTAATAAAAGTGGTGACTAGGGCTGGTGTTGTGGCGAAGTGGGTAAAGTCTCTGCCTGGGATGCTGGCATCCCATGTGGGCACTGGTTCTTGTCCTGGCTGCTCCACTTCCAACCCAGCTCCCTGCTAATGGCCTGGGAAAGCAGGGGAGGATGGGCCAAGTCCTTGGGCCCCTGTACCCATGTGGGAGACCTGGAAGAAGCTCCTGGCTCCTGGCTTTTGCAAGCCTAGTCTTGGCCATTGCAGCTATTTCAGGGATGAACCAATGGGTGGAAGATCTCTCTCTCTCTCTCTCTCTCTCTCTCTCTCTCTCTAACTCTGACTTTCAAATAAATAAATAAATTCTTTAAAAAAAAAAAAAGCAATGGCCGACCCTTGCCTAAGGGGAATTGTGGTTTATTATTCTTTTCCTTTTACTTTTCTGAATTGCTTTGATTTTTATAATAACCATGCATTGCTTTTGCGAGTTTAAAAAAGCTGGCTAGGTAGGCAAGTAAACAGGTAGACCGATCACTTTGGCTGCCTGGGAAATGGATGCCAGGAGACAGAAGGAAACCAGGCATGCCAGCCTGGAGGTCGCCATGGCAAGCCACGGGAGGGAAGGTGGTGCTCGGAGTACCAGGGCGGCAGCAGAGTGCGAAAGGAAAGCATGCATGTTGCAGGAATCCCTGTGAGCTGCTTAGGGATGAGGCATGGATGGTGCGGCACAGGCAGAAGTCAGGGGTGACTCCCGGGTTTCAGCCTTGGGTGGAGAGCTCCCACCTACTGAGACGGAAGGAGTGGGAAAGGGGCCACGGAGAGGAAATCCAGAGCTCCGTGTGGGACTTGCTGAAGTTCTAAATGGAACTGCGTGAGCCGGGCAGCGGCTGCAGACGATCAGGGCTGCTCAGGATGTGGGGGGTGGCTGGCGGGCAGGAAATAGGAACACAGGAGCACCCACTTTGCGGACGGTACTTGACGATCCCTGCCAGGCAGAGGGGCTGGGAGTTGGCATGGTGACACAGTGCCCAGCCCACCCTGGGGGACTGGAAGCCTGACGCCTGGCTGGCGCTTGCTCCCCGCCGGCAGATGTATTCAGTGCCACTGCCTACCCATTTGGGTTCTGTTCCCAAATTTCCTCCACGGTTTGAAAGTAGACACCAGGCTTTGAAGGTAGATACCAAACCTTCCTAACAGCCTGTGTGCAAATGCTTGCCTGGTCAACCAGTTGGTGCATTTCTACCGACTGGATGGTCCTGCGGCACCTGCTCCCCCCACCCCACCCCCCACACTGAGGACATCAGTTCAGGCCCCAGTCCCCCCAGTATACCCTGCCACAGGTCCCTGGCCATGCGCTGCCCCCTTTAACTCATGCCAAGCTTCTATCTGAGGACAGCACGGAGGACTCACCAGGGAGCTGGTGTAGGTGGGGTCTGAGGTGTCATCCTGGAGGTAGCGGGACAGGCCAAAGTCAGACACCTTGCACACCAGGTTGCTGTTGACCAAGATGTTCCTCGCAGCCAGGTCCCGGTGCACGTAGTTCATCTCGGCCAGGTACTTCATGCCCGCAGCAATGCCTCTGAGCATCCCCACCAGCTGGATCACCGTGAACTGCCCGTCATTCTGCTGCAGTGAGACACAGGCATCTGGGTCAGGACGGGCGTCAGCAGTCGGTCAGAGTGCACACCACGACTGGTGGCTCGCCGGCCTCGGTCAGTGTCATGGCGGCTTCCCTCTGCCATCCCCTGCTCCCCACCATGCCACCCCTAGAGTGCTCTGCTGGCCAAGCCCTGTCGATTCCATCTGCAGATCGCATCTCAAACCCACTCACTCCTCTCCCTCTCCACTGTCACCATTCCAACCAAGGCATCGTCATCCATCACCTTAACAGCCTCTTGAGCCTGCCCCCTACCATCCATTCTCTCCACAGCAGCCAGAGTCATCTTTAAAAGACATAAATCAGGCTGTGTCACTCCCTGGCTTAGAACTCTCTAACAGCCTCCCACTGCATGGAGGAAAATCGTGGACACCACAGCGTGGCCCACGCGCTGCCCTAGGATCAGCGACTGCCTCCCCTTGGGCTGCGTCTGCCATGCCCGTGCTCTAGCCAGAGCAGTGGCCACCCTCCCATGCTTCCCCAGGCATGCACTTCCTGCCTAGGGGCCCTGCCCTTACAGGGGTCACTTCCTCTGTGCTCCCCTCTCCCGGTCCACATGCACCTGCCCTACAGGTCTCTGCTTAAATGTCACTCCTTGTCACCAACCCCTCCCTCAGATGCAATTATGTAATTAGCATGTTCTGCATGCTCTCTTCCAGAGCAGGTACACACTGTCTTTTGCACACATTATAGGTTTCCATTTTGCACGTGTGCATGCATGTATGTATGTTCGTGTGTGTGTGTGTGTGTGCACGGGTGTGTGCAGATACGTTGGTTTCTGCTGCTGGACTTTGAACTCCTCACGATTAGGAACCCCGCCTCCTTTGGTCACCAGGGTATTTTCAGTGCTTAAAATGTTAATGCACACAGGGAAAAACAATCCCTCAATAAATACACTAAGTGAATGACTGGTATGTCTTTTCTCGCTTGCCAAATTAAGTGTTTAAGGCAGCTTCCTTGGGTAGCACCAGGGCTGTCAGCCCTCACTAGGGATGGCCACATCCCCTCCTAGGGATCAGTAGGGCAGAGGAACTCATGCGTGGTGCCTGCCATGTGGGGCCCTTCCACCGAATGGGGTTGCAGCTGCCCCCTTGCAAGCCGACCTGCAGCACTGCCCTCTCTCCAGTCCCCTGGGTGGACATCCTCCCCCTGGTTAGATGGTAGACTCTTCAGCGAATGAAGCCACGTCTCTCTCCAGCTTCCACAAGCTCCCAGACCTTGGCTGCACACATGCTAGCCATGTCAGCGGAGCTTGGGTCATGCAGCCAAGATCATGTTTTCCCACCCAGTCCAGCTCCAATGCTCCTTTGAGGGCCATGAGTTGGAGTAGAGCATGGCCCAAGCATTGGAGGGCAGGTGGGAGGAGTCAGGACACCCAGGGGCTGCCCTATTTCCCGAACACAGGCACTGGGCAAGCCAGGCAGCCCTCTGCCCCAGAGTCCTCGTGTGAAATGCAGAAAGCATCAGTGGTGTGCAGGGCTCCCAATCTTTGAGCACCTGCTGTATGCGAGAGGTTACACAATGTACTCAAGCACATGATCTCATTCAAGCGTGTGAGAACCATCATTTATGCCTGGTTTCCGGCAAAAGCATTTTGCAACGCAAAAATAGGGAGCAATAAAAAGACCTTTCCAAAAATACCCTGTTTATTAGAGAAAACGCCAGCAATCGAAATGTTCAACAATGGCAGCGTGAATGGCTGAAGACTCAGCTCCTCATGCAAAGTTGCAAGCCTGGATCCACCTTTCAGGGGCTGTGTCCCGTTCAGCTGAAGGAGTGGAGCAAACGGACACTCCCTTTTTCTTCCCGAGATCCCTGCCAGGGAGAGAGCCCCCAGACACACCGGGTTGGACACACCCCATGCTCCAGACTCATCTTAACCCCCTCCCAGCCTGCCCCGAATGCATTATTGTTCACATTTGCTTCCAGCCAACTCCCAAAGTACAGAATTGCTCCTGCAAACTCTGGTTTTTGGCACACGTTGCCCATCTGTGAGAGCTGGGTGTGCAGTGAGTGATGCGGGTCCCCCCTTCTCGTTAATGAACTTCAGTCAACACCTTCTCAAGAAGCGGGCCAGGCCTGCGCCGGCAGCAGGCCGGTTCTCCAAGTAGCTGTCTGCAGATGGCAGAAGGTTGTCACGTCACTTCTGGCCATGACAAAAATGGATCTCAGCTGCAAGTCACACGGGGTGTGTTTTTTCAATTCAGTTTGTTATTTCCTCTCTGGCAGTGTACACAACAGTGTGGTTCAAAACGGAGAGCTCCGTAACGAAGCTGACTTTCTGGGGAGGGCAGGCCAGTGAACAGCTTTGGGAAGAGCAATGCTGAAAGCACGCGTGGCAGTGGATCTGCGTTTCTTCCTCTTTTGCTTTTTAAATACAGATTTATTTATTTACTGTGAGGGTCAGTGTTACAGAGAAAGAGAGAAAGACAGATCTTCCATCCGCTGGTTCACTCGCCAGATAGCCGTGATGGCCAGAGCTGGGCCAGGCCAAAGGCAGGAGCCAGGCGCTTCTTGTAGGTCTCCAACATGGGTGGCAGTGCCCCAGGTACTTGGGCCATCTTCCGCTGCTTTCCCTGGCCATTAGCAGGGAGCTGGATTGGAAGTGAGGCAGCTGGGACACGAACTGGCACATATACGAGATGCCAGTGTTGCAGGCAGCAGGCTTACCTGCTGTACCACAGAGCTGGACCCTGCATCTGAGATTCTGTTTTGAGCCGCTGACAACTTCCTAGAGTTGCTTTGTCATGTCATGTGGTCTGCTTTCAAATTCAGTCACCCATCCTTAGAGTTTCTGGGGTCAACAAAGGGCAAGCAGTAGTTAAAGGGCCAGGTTTTAGAGCCTGACAAACCCAGTTTGGAACCAGGCTCTGCCACTCCCTGGGCTGTGCAAGCTTGAACAATTTAGGTAACATCCAGAGCAGTGATGGTCACATCTGAAAAATGGGAACAAGGTGTCTGTTTTTCACAAGGTGTTGGCAAGATTAAATGAGATCGAACATTGTGAAAGAGCTTAGCCCAGTGTCTTGTTGCTACCAAGATGGCGGCAATGATAATTGTTATTATCAGCAAGGCTGTCCCGTCTCCCAACTCAGCTCTCCACTGTACCTGAGCTGTGTATGGTGAGAGAGCCTGAGCACACCGGGGCCAGAATGCTGGGCTCCTCCCGGCTTCCTGTGTGTTGGGCAGACACATCTTGGGCTCACTGCCCTTGGAGAATCCAGTTCACAGTGCATCTGGAGTTGAGCAGGTAACAGGTAGGCAACTGTAGCAGCCTCCACTCACCAGCCAACTGTTGGAGTGCATGACTGAGACCTAATGCTGCAGGTCTGAAGTTTGGATCAATTAATCAACAAACTTTGATTTTTTTCCCCATTACTTGAGTTTGAATGGCATGTCAAGGTTTTGATCCTTAAAACTGGTTTGATGCAGTAGGCAAGGCAGGCGACATTACAGCGTTCTCACAGACAAGACAAAGGAGGTCCAAAGGGTTTATGTGCTCAGCCTTAAATCACTCTGTGTGGTTTTGAGCTATAACGTGGAATCCAAGTCCAGAACGGCAAACTGCTTCTCCACTGACATTCCACCTCTGAGCCGCTGGGGATGGCTGCCTCAACGCTGTGCACCACCTTTGCAGGGAGGAGAGTTGTGAGTGACTAGAGACGGTCCTCTTCTTTGGGTCTTTGTCTCTTGTCCAGTGCCTTCTCCTTGGGAACATGCTGACTCTGCAAGGGGCAAGGCATTGTCTTCAGGATCTGCCAGGGAGCCACATAGCACCAGAGCGGGGTCGCGTGAATTCACAGGCTCGGCGAAACCTAAGGATAGAAACAGGAGCGGGCATGCGGCATAGCAGTAACACTGCCAGCTGGGGCTTCACACCCCATATCGGGGCACCTGGGTTGGAGTCCCAGCCCTGCTCCTGATTCCAGCTTCCTGCAAATGTGCACCCAGGCAGGCGGCAGGTGAAGCCTCAAGTCACATGGAAGACCTGTATTGATTTTCTTGCCTCCCGATTTTGGCCTGGTCCAGTCCTAGCTGTTGTGGGCATCTGGAGGAATGAACCAGCAGATGGGAGACCTCAGTTTGTCTGTCGGTCTGTGTGTGTGTGTGTGTGTGTGTGTATCTTTCAAATAAATAAAATTTTAAAAAATCACAGTTTCTGACATGTTCAACTGCTTTAAGACAGGAGTAACAACAACAACAAAACCTCACCCAGATTTCTTAGTGAGTTTGGAGAAAAACCTGCCTCCATGCTGAGCACACAGCGAAAGCAGAGAGAGGAAGTACAGGCCTGGGTGGAGTGATGCAAACTTTCTTCCCTTCACGAAGTGCCTTCTATCGAAACTGCTTTCCTGCCAAGGCACGGAAGCCGTTTGCTGGCTCTGATATTACACAGGACAGACTGAGGTGTCTCAGCTCCCATTGACAGCTCCGCTTCTGGAAATGCACCCTTATTTGATTTGTTTGCAGAGAATGAATCATAGATTTTTTTTTTCCCTTAACAGAGAGAACTTCAAAGCACATCCAACTCTGTGCCTTTAGTTCATGGACTAGGAAACGGAGCTAACTGATTTGCTCCAGGCCACAGACCCGGCACAGAAGCCCAAGCAGAACCTCCTCTTAGGACTTCCAATCTGCTGTTCTCCTCCCGATATCTGGGTTGCTGTCTCCAAGCTGCAGCCCATGAGTATGTTGCCCCGATGAGAAATGTCCCCATTTGACATTGCTCGGTGACTTCCAGGAGTCTCGCTGTTCCAACCATCTGCAAACGCTATGGCAGGACCATGGGGCCAAGCTTTAGGGAGCCTGTCAGCCCACTCAGCTAAGGCATGAGGCATTGATCAGGACTTCAGGCGCTGCTCCTAAGATTAGGGCAGAGCCACCAGATTGCATCCCTTGGGTGTGAGTGTTGAGAAGAAGTATTTAGTTACGAGTTTGTATGCTGCGTAATCCATGGCTCACATTTGCAAAAATATGGATCACCATGAACCACCTACTGAATGCATGGTCCAAGAATAACTGTGTTTCCCATCCCTCCAGGATGTCAGGGGATGTGAGTGGAGCTGTGCTTGCCGTGCTGCGGGGCTGTTCCGTGCTCTGACCCAGCTGGAGCCTTGGCCACTCTCCACAGCTGCTACGTCCAGTGGGAAGGCCAGAGTTGGAGCAGAGGAAACAGTTTCCCAAATTGGAGAGTAACCCTTTTCCTTTCTTCTCTGAACAGTAATCCTAAAAATATCCTCCTTCCCAGAAGATGGACCCTGTAGAACTGAACTGATGACCTATTTTTTCAATTTTATCAAGCAGCAGATACATCAATTAATGTGGCTCTGCTCCAGGGTTCGGCAGGAAGGCTGAAATTAGATTTATAGATTACCTGCCTCCATGCGGTGCGAGGAGTCAGCAACGCTTCATTTCCCCTCTCTGCTCCTGGCTCCGGCTGCTCTCCCCATGCCGGCCTCCTGCCAAGCCTTCTCTGCTTTCCCATCCTCCTCTCTTGCCCCTAGACACTCTCCTGCTGCAAGCAGGGCCTTGTCGTCATGAATAACGCTGGCGTCCAACATGTGTCTGTGTCCCGGGCCCCGGATG